CCGCCGGCGCCCGCGCCCCTCGGAGCGGCCGAGGGTCCCCGCAAGCCGCTCCCCGAGGAGGGCGCGGCGCCCACGCGCAGTCCCCAACTTCTTCCGGCGCCGGCCCACGCCGGGGAACCCCTCGCTCACCGATATCCCCGTCGTCGTCGTCCTCCTCCTCCTGGTCCATTTCTAGCAGGACGTCCCTGGTCATCATTTGCATGGCTCCCCCAGAGGGCGGTTCCGAAGTTGGCGCAAAGTTGGGGGCCCCCGGGTTCCGGAACAACGCGGCTCTGGCGAGGCCCTGCGTCCGGGCGGGGGCGGCGGGGCGCGTCTGGCTCCCGGCTCAGGGGCTGCAGTGGCCAGCCCGCACTCCTGGAAGCCGAGCCCAAGCGGCCGCCGACCCGAGCCCTGCGCTCAAGACAGCCACTCACCACCCGAGCGGGGCCCGGCCACTGAGCATGCCCAGTGAGAGAGCCAGGCTCGCTGCGGAATGATTAAAACTTCCCCCAGGTTTATTAGGCTCCCAGAAGGAAGTCGGGACGCGAGCGGGAGTAGTCGGCGTTCGCGTTCTGCACGCGAGTGACCTCGGGGAAGGGGGAGGCGGGAGCACGCGGGAGTGGGAGTGGACAGGGTTCCGCAAACGTTGCCTCCAAACGAGGCAGTTCTCTGTTCTAAGGTCATATATGGACACACACTGAGGCTTGCTTTCTTCGACATGTGTTACTGCAGAGGGGAAAAACGCCACTACAGCTCAGGTGGGGAACCCTGAGGGCGAGCACGTTTGAATCGTATTTAAAGGCTACGCGGAGCCCACGGAGGATATCCAAGCATCAATTACTCTGACCCCAAAGTGAGGGAACGTGTATTCTATGGGGGAAAAGGGAGAGGGAGATTACAGAGAAAAAGAGGCAAAACTCGTAGATAATAAGCAATAGAAGAAAAAAGACAAAGAAGAGAGAGATCTAAAGAAACGTGTTCAAAAAAGGCCGGAGGATTTCCGCAGAAAGAGAGGTTAGAGGGCAAGAGAAGCGCCCCCTACCCCTGCCCGCCTGAGCACACACACGGAGTGGTCGCAAGATGATCACGAGTCCTTTTGGACCCTGAAAGCTTAGTCCTCCGTATCAAAAATGCAAAAGAAGCCAAAGAACTCCACTATGGTTAGAGGTAAACTCTACTATAATGAAGTGTGAGAAACTATAATAACCAGAAACAAAAAGAAAGTACTAAAATAAAATTGAGGCAGAGAGTAAAAGAATGCGTTCCCCGGGGACCAAAGGGAGCAATAGGACAAATACAAAGGGACTTCTACTTTTAAGACTCATGAGGGTAGTTTGAACTGCAGGTTTCTAGGAGTGTCTGCAGAACTGTTTTCAAAGAAGCTGGTGTTGGGTTCATTTTGATTCCTCAAAAGGGCTTAGAAGGTATATTTGAAATCCTGGTTACATTCATTATCCTACGCTTCCTATCGAAACTTTTTATATTTTTTCCACTGACGTACCAGAATTATCATGATAATTATGATGACACTAAATCTCCTGTGCACTTTTTTCTCCCATATACTTATTTTATGAGTTTCCATATGAAAGGAAGAAAACATTGAGACCAATCATAAGTGGGAAAACAGCCACAAATATGCATCATAAGACATCTGGAAATTACTTTTAAGAAACTATCCAATATCTTAAACAATAAAATTGTTTTTTATTTTTTTTTAAGTAGGGTCCACACCCAGCATGGAACCCAACACAGGGCTTGAACTCATGAGCTGAGATCAAGAGTGGGATGCTTAACTGACTGAGCCACCCAGATGCCCAGAGAGAATAGTTTTTAATATAAAGAGAAAACAATACATTACTCTGTGCAGGGGGTGGGGTTGGGGGGTGGGGGATAGGAGAATAAAGAAGGAAAAAAAAGAGGAGGAAAAAAAGATTGTTTTCTCTCAGTGAATTCTCTCCCCAAAGCTTATGGGACCTACTAAATTAGAAATTCCAGAGGCATTTTAGTGACATGATCAGTTACCACAATTTTCATTTAACAAATGTGTACATAGTGCTTTTTATGTGCTAGGCACTGTTCTAAATGTTTTACATTCAGTCACATAATCCTCATAACAACCCTAGCAACTATTACCACTTGACACAGGATGATTAAATAACTAATCCAAAATCACACATGGGAAGTAAGTGGCAGAGCTGGGGTTCAAACCCAAGCCTCTAGAATCTGGGCTGTTGGCTATTTGATAAACCACCTCTAGAGACATTTCTGAATCCATTAAAAAAAATCACTTTTCCCCCCACCAATTCTGAGCTCTCAAAATCTCATCAACTTTCTGCCACAGTTCTCTCACCAAATGGCCTGGTTTTTATGACCTAAGATTTTGTTCAAAGTTAATTAGTAGTAGAAAACTCTTGTGGTTGATTTTGTAACAGGGTTCCATGAGACATTTGAAATTCTTTGTAGATTTTAGAGTTCACATTTTTGTTGCTTGATAAATGTTGCAGAGAGACATTGTTGGCCTTATATGTAAAGGTAACTGTTGCTGGAAGGGAAATGAATTATTTACTTGTTATCTGTGAGTAAATTCCATTCTTTTCATTCAATCTATTTTATGCTCTGTAGCTCCTCTCATGCAATATTTTTTTTTTCCAACTGAGTCATAAATGCTTCAAACATAAGGTAATAGGCCTATGTAAGAACCACATCATCCTTGACCCTGAAAAATTATCATCTATATCATGAATAGTTAGTGAAATAAAATGTGCCTAATACTATGTGGCCAGGTTATTGGATTTGCAAAGCTTTTCCAAGTCAGGTTGGTAGACCAAGTATTTTCTCTTTCATTGGTCTTTTGATTAATTACAACACCCACCTGGCCACAGGATGCCCTTTCTCTGCCCGTCCCTCAAATATTGGTGTGTCTCTGACTTTGATCCTGTCCTTTTTTCTTCTCATCTTTCCCTATTGAAATCATTCAGTCTTGTAACTTTACTGTCTATTCCAAAGAGGGCCAGTTTCATGAGCACATGAACATTGATTTACAGAGGGCCCTGCACTCAGAAGGACTTAATGCTTGGGGTCTTAATGCTCTGTGGTTGCAGGTTTAAAATTCTTAATAACATTATCTTTGAATTTTTGTTTTATATGTGGAGTTCAACGAGACAATGAAATGTGCTTGGTTCTCATACAGTCCTGCCTCCCACCGCCTCTCTGCCTCCCTGGGACTGTTTCTCAGCCTTGCCCACCCTCCTTTTTGCCCTACCCAAAACCAGGACCACTAGGACCAAGGAGACCTAGGCACAGGCACAGGGAAGGTCAGGGTCATGTGCATGCACCCCTGGTGCTGTAGGGTAGTTGATGACAGCTGTCCCTGCCCTAGACTAGCAGTGCCACAGTGCTGTCACCCAGTGGGTGACTCAGTGGGAATGGGCCTCTTGCCCATCCCCTATGTAAGGGCATCCTGGCATGGAAGTTGCAATCTCTTGGAGGCTGTCTCTTTAATGTGGTTTAGAGCCTAGAGTCCATGGGGAAGGGGAGACACCTGGCTCCACTTCTCTACCATCAGCCAGGGCATGGTCTGTCAGTCCTACAAATTGGTGGGAGGGAGATCTGGCAGCTGGTGGACCTCATGGGCTCTTTGAACAAGGAACCCTGCAATTTTTCATTTGCACTGGGCACTGCAAAGTGTATAGCTGGTTCTTATTCCAAGGTCTTTATTTCCAGATCTCTCTTCTGTGTTGCAAATGGTATATATGCTTGCATGCTGGACATCTCCACTTGGCTATTTCTTAGACATTTCAAATTTAGCAGGTCCAACACTAAATTTGTAATCTCTGCCCCAAACCTGTTTCCCTAAATTCAGGAATGTATAGTTACACAAGTCAATAATTTGAGAAGCATTTTGATTCCTTCCTCTCTCTGCTAATCCCCATGTCCAATCAGTTGCTAAATCTTGTTATATCTATCTCCTGGATATCTCAAACACATCCTGTATCCATTGCTGCATTGCTGCATAATTGCATAGCATGACATTTTAGCAGAAGCAGAAGGGAATGGGGTTTTAGGCAGAAGGGAACGCAAATGCAAAATTCCCAAGGAATACCAGCAAAGAGATCATGGTGGCTGTGGCATAATACATTGCCCAAATTCAGCAGCTCATGGCAACAATAAACAGGTATCCTTTCACACAGTTTCCGTGGATCAGGAATTTGGGAGCAGGTTAGTCAAGCGGTTCTGGCCTAGGTTCTAATTTGTAGTCACAATGTTGGTCAAAGCTGTAGTCACCTAAAAGCTTGACCAGGGTTCAAAATCTGCACCTTAGATAGTTCAACCTCACATGGTGCTGCTTGTCAGGAGGCACCTCACTTCCTTCCTCCACTAACCTGTCTGTACATCCCTTGAACATCCTCATGACACAATGCTGTGTTCCCTGACAATGACTAATCCAAGAGGCTGGGTGAGGTACAAGCCACAACATCTTTTATGACCTAACCTTGGAAGTCACGCATTGTCATTTCTGCTACTGGTTACACAGGTCAGTCAGCTCTACTCCCTGTGGGAGGAGCTTATCCAAGAGCGTAAATAGCAGAGGCAGGGATCATTGGGAGCAATCTTGGAGGCCACCACATATCTCCACTATCACTGTTGTGATACATACCCACTGTCATTCTTCATTCTTAGTTACTGAGAACTAACTATACGCTGGCCACTTCCCCGGATGTTGGGGATTCAATAGTAAAAACAAAAAACAAAGACAAGACAACATCTCTGCCGTCAGTTCTTTCCATTGCAGTGGATAGAGACAAATAAGTAAGTACCTGTCAGGAAATGATGGGCACTGCTGAGAAATATGCAGCAGGGCAAGAGGCAGAGAGAATGATGGTTGGGAGACGGACTTTACAATGAGTGGTTAGGGGAAGACTGATGAGGTGACATTTTAGCAGAGGTCTGAAGGAAGTGAGGGAACAGAGTATGTAAGTCCCTGAGGAAGCAGAGTTTCAAGAAGGAAATGCAAATGAATAAGCCTTGAGGAGAAGCATGCCTAATGTCTTCAAGAACAGCAGAGGCCATGGCAACTGTAGCATCGTGATAGAGGAGGGAAGTGGTAGGAGGTCAGGGATGGCAGAGGAGGGGGAGTGCTGCAAATCACTTTTAGCCATCAGAGGGACTTGGGTTTTGACTCTGAATAATATGGAAAGCCTTTGGAAAGTTTTGACTAAACAGGTGGCAGACTTATATTTTAAAAGGATCTTTCTTACAGCTTTTTGGAAAATAGACTAGACTGTAGAAGAGCAAATATAAAATCAAGGAGGCCAGTTAAGAGACTAGTTCTTTAATTCAGCCAAGGGATAACGGTCTTGAACCAGAATGGTACTGATAGATGTGGATTAAGGTATGTTTTGAAATAAATCTGAAGAGTGTCTGAGGTACTGGATATGAGTCTGAGGAAAAAAAAGGGAGTCAAGGAGAACTCCGATATTTTGACCTGAGAAATCTGGAAAATGGAGTCGCTATTTTTGAAGTGTGTAAGACTCCAGGAGAGGAAGGGGGTGGTGGGGTTTGGTTTTGGACCCAAAAGTTCAAATT